AAAAAAAAAAAAAATGCAAAAAAAAATTCAAAAGCTGCTGAATCACCTACTGCTATCATTTGCTTGAAAAGCCTATAACCATATAGCTAAAAAGCATTAGTGATCAACTAACAATGAAAAAAGGAAAAACAGTGTAATAAGTCACCACCGCTTACCTGTCTGTTGTACTGCTGTTGTTGAAATAAGGACGACCACATTTTCGATGGGGCTACAGTCAGGGGAACATGCTGGCCATTCCATTACTTTGGCGCGTTACGTTGGAGCCATTCTTGAGTAAATCGTGAGACATGTACTGCTGCATTGCTTTGCTCGAAAAACATGCGTCCCGCATCGTGCTCCTCACAGAAATGGAAAGAGACGGAGTTAAACGTTTCCTTGTATTTCTGACAATTCATACTGCAGGACGGAAATTAGTAAGACAAGCTCCAGTTTCCAGCACATCCCAAACAATCACAGATCATTAATTCACCTCTTCCAAGATTCCTTTCAGAGAACACCAGCGGCTTGCGACAGAGGTCCCTCCAATAGTAAAGAGAACAATCCGCTTCATCACGGTTTAAGTTTTTCCCTCAGTGAGTGATCCAGACAGAAAATGCCTTTGCGATTTCACTTCATTAGCATCCAGCCATTTTGCAAAAATGTGCACCTTTTCCCATGATACATGATACAGCCAATTTTTCCGAGAGGAGCTCAAATTCGCGAGCTTGGGCTGAAAGATCAGGCAAGAAGTTTCTGTGAGATGGCTCGAGTTTATGCTCGTTTGATCAGATGGTACACTAAATGGTCATTTCTGAGAACGATGAATTCCTTTAAGCCTGAATTGGGATCACAGATGAAGGAGAACTCGAGAAAGATGGAAACGAACCATCATGCGAGGTGAGAGGTAGACATCAGAATTATAGACGAGTCTCAGGTAAATGTGAGAGAAGCCATGCTCAGCAACGTTAAGAACCCTTAGCTTGGGCTGTACTTTTTACAAAAAAGTTTAACCATGAAGGGACATGATGAAAAAACGATCAAGAAATGAATCAACAGTAATCGATGAGCATAGGCGTCGAAATTTGAGTTAGCGCAGGTAGCCGCACTTTTTAAGCACAATCTAAAAGTTCAATTCGAAAGGGTTTTGTTCTTGTAAAACATTATCATCTATCCATCGCACTTACAATTGAAATCTGTCACCTAGAATTGCATAGAGAAGAGGAGACAGAACAACCGCTCGGAAAACTCCCAGAAATGGATCTTGAGGTGATCACATATTTTTGGCAGGAAGCACATGTTTCTTTTATTACAGAGTCTTGTTTTTTTATATTTTTTTAAAATATTTTCCACTGATTTCAGTTTGTTTCCTTTTTTTTGAGCATGGCATTGCTTTACTGTGTTACCTATTATATTTATTTGTTCCACTCATAACCCGCGCAATAACTTTCACCTATGCCGTATTGTACGGAGAAAGTAAAAAAGACCATCGAGCTCTGATCAGCACAGTTCTGTGATGCAGCCACGCACGGGATCGATTCCTGTTCTGCATAGTAGTGGCATTTTGGTCGTGGTAGTACTTGAATGGCCCAAAGAGATGGAAGATTTGTTGGCCTGGTCAGTGGTCGAGTTTCGGCGCTGCTCATCTCCCCAAGTATAATCCATGCTGGGATTATTCATTTAGTCAGCTTATTTACGTTCGTCCATGAACCTGAGAAAACAATGCCTTTGCATGTTTCTTACTGCATGACAGAGAAGTCTTATGGAAAACTTTAGTTCAGAGTGGATTGGATTTTCCCTTTACCCGTTTATTCGCTTCACATCTTGGCGTAAAATAGCTAGAGGAAACTTTTGTGATTTTGTCAGCGATAGTCCACGTTGTTCACGTACTTTGTAGTCGGGCGGGCTATTCTCGCCTAATCTTATCGAATTCGTCAAAAGAAACATGGTTTGACTTTCGGAAGGACCAGCTTCCCAAGGGAAACAATACGCTTGGAAACAATAGAAACCACATCTCCAATATCCTGTCTATGGATACATAAAAAGTAATTGTTTTTATGAATAATATATATTAGTACAGACATCTTCGCCATTGTTGTGCTTATGCAGAATCTGTAGGTATGCTGTGGAAGTATGGTGTTCTTATATTATTTGACCCGGAAGCTTGAAAAACCGGTTGTCAATTGCAGTGCTATGCAGCATCACTGTGTACGAGAGAAAAGCGTTTGAAATCAAAGATACAGTCCACAATAGTTTGAGGGGCGTGAAAGCCACGCTCTTTCGCCCCTCGAACAACGTCACGTTAGACGAGTGTCGAGACAAAACAGATTGCAACCATTCGTTCTGGGACCCATACACAATCAGCTGATCGTCGAGTGATGAGGTTTCTCCCATTCTTTTTTCCTCTGTTATTCTTTTTGCTGCCGCGATCCCTTATTTAATTCCCTACTCCTAGAGGCCGAAAAAGGTGAGCTACTTTTGCTGTTACTAGGGTTTTTTTTGTTTAATTATGCTTATAAGTGAATGAATTTCTGATTACTGTAGTATGTTATTCGCACCAGAACCCACACGTACGCAGTGAGACACATTGTATAGCTCGTCCAAACGCCCCTATCTTCTTCATTCTTCTGGTATCATTTTCGTCCAGCCCCCTTTTGAACGGTCTTTTGAAGCCTTCTTCCACTTTGGAAACACCGATTCACGCAGTTTCTCTGCCTTCATCGCGCTATTCTCCATTTCGTCTTCCATTTTACATCATAATCTGGATTACCTAAAATTATCGTGAACTGTGTCTTTAATGAATTCCCTCTAACAACATTATTCCAGTTCGATTCCGTATTTATTCCGTCACAGTGCTTACTCACTAGCAATACTAGCAGATAAGAGGTAGTTCTTTCTAAGCGACCCGTGCATGATAAGCAACCCTCTCCCGCGACGTTCCAATTGATTGGTATGCTTTTTTATAGCGAGCTTTCCTTTTCCGTACTCACTCCTCGTTGGGAAGCGCTGCCATTTATTTCGATTTCGTTTCTTTCTAAGATCTAAGTGATCACAGCAATAACTCTTTCAATGACTACTTCTCTCTTTTGTGGTGGTACAATCGAATTCATTCATTAGCTTTGGGCTGCTCATAGAAAATGGAATAGTAGCGAACCGTTTTTAGTGACTTTATATGAAGACTTTAACAACTACATTTCAACTGGATGGAAGAGAATAGAGCGGCTTTAGACAAAACTAAAAGATCAAAGGAAGACGCCAAATCCATTGAAAGATAACAGTAGAGTAGCGAATTTCAGGCAAGACGTTGAGGGTTTGACGCAACATTGCAACAAAATTCATTAATGAGGTGTCGTTCACCCGAACACCCGCCCTTGGCTCCTTTATCTAGGTCTTATTGGAAGTCTGCAGGCTCATCAGAGCGCATCATTCCTCAAAACTCCTCGCACCAATTCAAGGCTATCTCTCTCTCGCACAGAACAACGTTCTCTTTTCCTGCTCATTTGCCAGACAAATAACTCGCTTCTGTGTTTCGAAAACAAGAAGATTTTCTAGATGAGTGGCCTCGTCGATGTTGACAAAAGAGTGTCTGAAATCGAAAACGATCGCTCAAGAAAGTCCATCAAGCCTCATTTGAACAGAGCTGGGGTCGTTGAAGGAGAGGCGCCAGAAACCGACGACGAACTTAAAATTGACGTGCCGTCCACATCCGTTACAGCCCCATCCGAGGAACTCTGCAAAGACATAGCTGTTCCACAGCGGTGAGTCATTTGTTGCTTCCCAGAGGAGTGGATATCTATTCAAGTGCTTGAGAGCTCATTGGTGTCTTTAAACCTTATGGAACTCTGTACTGCTTAGAAAAAAACTAGATAAATGATATGCCTAGAATGGCCGATCTGTTGATGTTGAAGTTTACCTTTATGTGCAGTAGAGTTGAGCTAGCGTCTGACTAGCCCTTTTTTCACATGCTCTTGGTATATTATTAGTCACGTGATCGTTTTCGAACATTCGAGATCAGCGGAGTGTTCATTATTCAAGTGATTGCTGGANTTATTAGTCACGTGATCGTTTTCGAACATTCGAGATCAGCGGAGTGTTCATTATTCAAGTGATTGCTGGAACGTCGAAAGGAAGAAAAAGATACTTGGTACCTGTCGTGTCGTCGTAGTACAGCACTGATTTACTGCAGTGCCTCTACAAACAGTGCGCTTTTTTATCCTATAAAAGGCGCAAATCACCGACCGCTCCCTGGTGGGAAACCTTGATGATCAGGGCATTTGATCTGAGATTAAGGGCAGGGTCGAGCACAGAGATTCAGTACCTTTTTTCCAAAACAAGCACACCAGTATGGTGCTTTTTTGGATTAACAAGCAGTCACTTAGGAGGGCGTCTTCTCTACTGTTGCTGAAAAGTTGGTCCATCAGCAGCAAGAGATTTGTTTGCGTTCTCCAGAGTTGATCGCCCATTGAACATGATAAAGATATTTTCCACGGTGTGATTTTACCGGTCTTGTGATCCATCTTGGGAATCAAGAGGGGGGGGGGGGGGGGGGGNGGGGGGGGGGGGGGTGGGTAGAGGTAGCACTGGAATATTGAGCACTGGAATATTTATTGACAATAGAGAACGCAGAACCGAGTTAAATTTTCCGAGTTAAATTTTCCGAGTCAAGCACCAGCCTTTGAGAACGTGGTAATAGGCCGTTTTAGGTAATGAGTTCAGGCAAAAAAATCGGAAACGCTTAGCTCGTCGCGGAAGAGTCTCCTTCGTTTGATTTGCTGACCTATTCTTAACTTTTGAGCTTTCTTACCGGAGTCTAGGCAATTGGGAGCAGAATTATAAGGTCCTTCTCATTATATCGCTAATTTAGGTGAATGCTCCGCTCTCTGAGAATGGGTTTTTTCTGGGCTTACATGTGCTCTGTTGAACTTGCTCGAAGTCCCAGCTATCCCAAAGTTGACCAGAGTTTTCTGATCATACAGAGTTTCGAGACATATAACATACAGAAACGGATACTTTGTATAGAAAGTGATACTGGTCATTTCACAAATAGTAAGCAATGATGATGATTTCAATATGAAACGATTTTGTACGTCAAGAACGACTCTGAACAGCGTTGTGAACTTTTATCTTACAATTTTGTTATCTCGTTAGTTCTGCTCGCCTCGGTGCAGGCCACGTCCAGTTTGGGGGTTTGACCATCTTTCCTTCAGCAACATCTATGCACTTTTTCGGGTTCTATGACATCTTTGAGCAGAGTGGATGCTTAATGATAGCACCGCCCACCTAACTGAAGACCCCTCAAACCGTGAAAGGTTGACCACCCGTCTAATAGCTGCCCTTAGCCAGCTTCTCCGCATTCTGGAATAGAAATCCGTTAACTTCGAACTTTCGACCTCTTTTCCTCTGTAAGCTTTAATCCCTTTCTCCAGCATTCTAGAACGTTTTTAGACCTAGTTATGAATTTTTAATCTTAACCCCACCCAACCCTGTCCAAACTACGTCTACTTTGAAGACAGACAGACAAACAAACAACCAAACAACCAGAAAGGCAGAAAGATAGACAGACAGATACGAGCGCGTTTTAGACAGAAGGGATTATCAAATCAAATAATACCGTAAAAGTAAACACTTGAGCGGATAGTTCGAACTAATCCACGAGCAAAATCTACACTTATAGAATTGTTATAGAGCTCGAGTTCATGTTGACGAGAAACTGGAACGAAGCTGGCGAAAGTTAGGAGAAGATGTACTGATCGCATCAATGAAACGAGTGCGACCGACTATGAAGATGGCCAATGATATGGAAACATGTCTAGATGATACTCTCGCCGCCGTCCAGGTCTGCTTCGAGATCACCCCTTTTTTGAGGTCTTCATCTTTCAAGGAAAGATTCTACCCGGCAGTATTAAGGGTGCGTCGGGACATATTCGTCATGCGTCTACGGTTGTGTACCACCTCGAAGATAGTGTTGATGCGCTCCTGGATGCCTCAAAGCTGATACCGACGAATTTCGAAAACACCGTCACAATAATGCGCTTAGCATGAACAGTTAATCTTGGAGTGAAGATTTCCTCGTATCGTTCTAACAGTGTTCGTGTTTGGCATTTTCAAATCGTGCCATATGGTGTTGTTACTTGGTACTGGCTCTAAGGATCGTAGCTACTGTTACTAGGTTACTTTGTTGACGCCAATCTGATTGTTGAGTACTGTTGTTTGAAGAATTAAACAGAAATGTGGACAAAGTTCAGTAATTATCAATATTTATATTTGAGTAAACAGCGCTTTGCCGAATGAAGTTCTTCATAGCAGATTCGTACATGTCAAGGAGAGAAAGGTTGGCAAATATGTGAGCACACGTTTGTTGGTATCAGCCCGATGACAATCTTTGATTGAGCCTAGCCAATTCTAATCACTCTCTTTAGGCTCAAATTTAGAGTGAAATGATCGACTTATTAGGTATGGGAGAAAAATAAATGTGGTTGAAGTAAGGGACAGAAAAGATAAGCTTCCAACTAGGCTCTGGAATAAGATTCTCTTCTTATAGGTAATTTCGTGCTATACATACGGGTTGCAACGCTCACTCTCGCTCGTCGCACCTTTGTTATTTGTTTGAGAACCTGCGCTGGGTTTCTAACCATGCCTGGAAGGAGAGCTTCATAAAATATTCGGAAGTGTGCTTGCTAACCAATAAATACTTTATAGCTGTAAAATGAAGCGGACTTTTAGAAATATTTCCGCTTTTACCAGCTTCCATGAATTTATTCAGTGACTGTGTCCGTTGTGGAAGTTTAATTTGTCTTGATTGGGAAGAGGTTCGTACGCAGGCAATGACCCCAAGCAGTGAAGGAGGAATGTTGAGATAACTGAGCAATACGACTACAACTTTGTTCATATGTGAATAGAATCTTATCAGGCAACAGTGATTCGTCCTGCCGCTTTCGTTGTTTTATATTTAAAGGTACAGTTCACGATAATTTTGTGTAATCCAGATTATGACGAAAAATGAAAGATAAGAAGGAAATAAGTGCGATGAAGGCGAAGAAACTGCGTGTATAGGCGTTTCCGAAGTGAAGAAAGGTTTCGAAAAATGGTTAAAGAAGGGGCTGGACGAGAATGGGACCCAGAAAAACGAAGAATAATGGGCGTTTAGACGAGCTATGTAGTGTTTGTCATTGCGTACGTGTGGGTCCAGGTGTGAATAGCTGACTACGGTAAGCGAAAAATTCATTCCCTCGTAAGCATAGGTAGACAAAAAAACTCTTGTAAGAGCAAAAATAGCCCACCTTTTTTTGTGGTAGAAAATTGAATAAGGAGTCGCAGCAGCAAAAAGAATGACAGGAGTAAAGGAATAGCAGAAAAACATCGCCTGATTACTTGGCGATCAGCTGTGGGTCTTAGAGCGAATATCGGAATCTGTATCGTCTCGACACTCGTCTGACGTGACTTCCATCAGGGGCGATCCGGTAACGGAGCTCCCACTATGCCCTAGCTGTTGTGTTTTGGGACTCGACAGCGTCCTTCCTGTTACCCTTGATGGCCACTGGATAATCCTAGTGGGTGAACTCAGAAACCATTTTTACCGTGAAGTGTGCCTTTAAGACACTTGCCACTGTTTGCTGACCCTTCCTCTTAGAACTCCACGATTCTTGAAACGTTTACTGCAAACCATCTGTCCTCACCGTGTCATTCCTACATTTTTGCCTCTGGTCTAGGGAAGACTGTTCGCCGAGCGACTCTCGGGTCTATGTCTCTGTTGGCACTCATCAATTTCTATTATATTATTTGTTAACTAATTCTGAGTTTTGTGACAAACTTTGTTCCAACTTCCAACTGTTCCAACTTTATTTTCATTACTCTTGTTTGATTTGTTCATTTTTTTTCTTTCATTGAGTCTGTAGGATCGTTTCCGCAAACAACCGTATATCTCAATGCAGCGCGTCATGGAACGCATGAATAAATAAATAAATAAATAAATAAATAAATAAATGAAAGCTTCATTTTTGCAAATTCATGTAAGTTCTTGCTATCATAGGGATGATAACAAAGCGATCTGAATCAGTTTAGCTTTACCTATTCGCGTTTTTAGCAATAAATTTATTCACGTATACAACTTAATGCAGTGCTTCGAGCGATATTTAAGGAAGATCCAGAAATTCTTCACAGAGCTGAAACGAGCACTACTCTTTACAAAAATTACAACGGAACGCTTTTTGCTTTCTTTCTAAGGTGACCGCTGATTAATGTAGCGCTTTCTCGTTTCTTTCTCTGGTGATGAGCGGAGGTGAATAGCCCACGACGTTTACCTGTAATCAAATTCAATCACTTCATATAGTTAGAATAGAATTAGAGACCCACCGAAGTTCTCAGCGTCCTCTATTGTCATCGGAAGTGGGGCGCCGAGCGTTTCTGGAAGAAAAAACGTGCAGGTTCCAGCAGAGAGCGCCATGAGACCCATGATGAGTAGTGGGAGGATTTTCATGTAATCGCCCTGAATCATTACAACTGCAACTGATGGCTCAGCAGAGGGTATAAGATAGAGGTATGGAAATCTGTAGACGCTTAGTTCCGATACAGTCAAATGTGTTCGTGCTCATAGCAAAAATACTTTTTTCCTGCTTTATATTATTCGCTGTGGAACTATTGGTTTGTGTATTTGTACCATCGTTTGTTTATGTGTCTGTATTTGTCGTTGTGTGTATTCGATCGAAAATTCATAAATTCTGTCCCGCTAAAACTAGTGTTCAAACTTGGACGGGTTACAGGATTGGAATATTGATTGCAGGTGATGGGAAGTGATAGCAATGATTAGGGACTGGTAAGTAGAAGCAGAAACTACAGGATCCCTATTAATAGCAGAACTCTGGTACACTTGTATGTGTTCGGTACGAAAGAGATCATTAGTGGTCGGTAAGAAGAGCTGTTAATACCTGATAGGTCTGATAAGGAGCCATAGAAAGTAAGAGTCACTGAAACGGTCACGCCTCACTGTCTACAATGAAGCCCGGACACTGTAAGTGATGCGGGACGTAAAGGAAACGCGGATGTTTGGTGGATTGATAATAAGTGACGATCTCTGATAGGTGGCCGTAGCAGGCAAGAGTTTTTGATTCTGTGACCCCTTCCGTGTTACCAGTAGAGCTTCGACACCCAACTCTTCGAATTAATGAAGGAAGCTTGACACATTGGACGAGGAAGCGGAACTTATCGGTATAGTAGCGACGGAAAATAATAGCAACTGATGAGCACTGATGATCGCCACTAGGTTTCTTTTTCATACGACGATAGAACATCGCCACTACAGTGTGTAATATAGGATGTGACTAGATCGCAGACAATGTGTTCAGAAAATGATAACAGCTGATAAAAATTGCTAAGGTTCATTTCGTGAGTCTATTCTATATCTATCCCGTTGATTTGTGACATTTTGATATACTCACCAATAATTGCAGGGATGAGGACCAATCAAAGTCAGTACCACATAAGGGGAACGAAATGTGTTCCACTAACAGAGTTCCACGGGCAAGCACGATTTCTGATAATCGGCCAATGTTACATACATGAAGGTAGGGAGGTTTGCAGACATGAAAGTCTTATAATGTTAATCATCATTCGACAACATGAGCAAATACCACTCGAAACTTCAGTTTACTAACCAGGTTGCTCAGTTGTAGAAAATCGGTGCGATGGTTTTTTTGGACGGTTATTGTTGAGACCAAGGGCAACAGATGAAGATCTTCTCAACGTAAGAGATCAGCGCATGCGCCTGCGTAGTAAAAGTAAAGGAATTGAGGATCAAGCTTGCAATCCAACTCCGTATGGGGAAAGATAGACGCTCGGCGTAAGCTGAGCGATCCGACGAGTCCTATATAAACAATTTGAGGAAGGTTTTTTGAAATAAAAACTCTTTAGAGCTACATTCATAATCCGGAATTCACCTCCAAGGAAAGGTCCCCCTTTCTGAAAGCTCTCTAGCAAGTTCGGGTCGAGGCTAGGTGGCGCAGCGGCGGATTAGGAAAAATTGCGGACCAAAAGTGACCGACACTGGCTCAGATACACAGCTGGATTCAGGAGACAGCTCTCTGTTTCTACTGTGTTGGGTCGAATAACACCATCTGCATCCTCGCAGATGTATCCATGCGTGCGGGTGTGGGTAGTCTGCCATGGGTATCCTGCACAACTTGCAATCGAGTGACTGGAAAGAACCGATACGACGACTCGGAGTCGACTTCAGAATCGAAGCTCTTTGTCCACTCTGAGATAGCCTAGCTAGCTGCCCATCCCGCGCAGAGCCTGACAAGCCACTCATGGATATCCATGTGCCCAAAACAGCAATATAAAAAGGGTTCCTCCCCCTGACCCTGATGTAGTCTTATACGCCAGCTTTAGATGAGACCGTTTGGAGAGTGATGCTCAAATTTCTGTGTCATAAAAGTCGCCCAAACGGAGAAGGACCAAATGACGATCTGTACTCTAGATGCACGCTTGTTTCGTCGAAGAAGTATATCGAAGATTTGATGATGCAAGCCAGTAAGACCAAGTACGACGTCATCGGACTGAATGAGAGAGAAGTCGCTACGCGCACTTTTTGACGCAGAGGAAGAACCTCTAAAGTGTTAGATCGGCCTATTTGCTCCTCCGCGCTGGATTTCGTTCTTAATGCAAGGAGAAAGAGCTGCGGAGTTCAGCAAACGATGTCTTGAGGCCATCATCAAACAAGATCGCCTCGCTTATCTTGCAAAAGATGGGGAGATTCCGCTATCGACAACATTGATGAGGAATATTACCGACTTTCCGAATCCGAATCTTCACCATACAGTAATGCTAGGAAAGCAGACAATCTACATGTAGCCAATAGACCCTCTTCAAGACTCTATTTGGAGAGAAAATAGAGCACTCGTAATTTTCTTTAAGGCATTGCCACTCGTGACACCAAACTGACCTCGTCGTTTTGGCGGAAGAGTTACTGCATCTCGAAGCACAACGAAAAGTCGTTCATGATTTCTGCTTGAATCTGTTTAACCGCCACATCCACCTGCCTACCTACCATCTTAGGCAGGANGTATATGTCGTTTCTTCAGTTCCTGAATGCGATGACTTCGATGAAGAATTGTACGGTGTCCGGGTCGGATATGACCGAAACAGAAGATATGAAGAACCTCCCAGCACACATGGTCAAAACCCCGGAAAAAATCCTCACGCGGTACCTGCCCGAATGCAAAGTGCCTACGTCCTGAAAACCAGCCACACCGCTTGTTTTGCACAAGTAGGGAGATCCAGACGATATTGTCATTTGTCGCCCAATCTGCCTGCTGTCTGTAGTCTATAACATCATGTTTCCACAGAATCATCGTTAAAGGGATTGACTGAATTCTAGATGTAGGGCAGCCGAGCGACCAAATAGGGTATCGGAGAGAGTTCAGCATAGTCAGTCACATCCACGTTCACCTAAAGACTCCTTGAAATGTCTCGAGAGTACACGGTGCGGTTATGCAATAGATTAATCGGTTTGATGGAGGCTTTGGATTCCGTCGAGAAAGCTCCAAGCATCTGGAGCTTTCTTAGTTAATACATGAGAATGCTTCGCGAGCTCTACAACTTTCTCTAGACCATAATCCCTCCATTCAACAGAGTGTCATCGACAGCGGGGAAGTCCTTTCCGCGCCTCTGTCGAAACTAAACCACCCCACCCACGATATGGCCTTACAGTACCCCTATGTGTGAGTGAAGCGAAAGACTTGCGCTAGTCCGCGTTATCTTCTCTTTAAACTGGCTGCCGTGGACCCCGTGGACCAAGCACGAGTCGTGCGCCTCACTGACAACTACGACGTCTATCTATAATCGCGGGCTGACGTGCGGTGTGCGACGGTTGCGGCGTGACCTAGTACGCGCGAGGCGAAGGGCACTCCTTTGCGTGCATCTATACTAAGTGCCGTGAACGACACCTGAGCGCCATCCACGGCACTTTCGTTCGAGGTCACCAATCAATCCCTGCATTTCATGACTCTGCTGCCGGATGAGTTTTTGCGATGACCATGCTTCTTTTTCTCTTCGATTGTTGCAATTTTTTGTGATTTTTATTTTTCATCACGTCCTGTATCAGGGACCGCTCTTTCGAGTGGATGGTATTAGCGTGAGCTAATTTTTCCACCTATTTATTATTCCTTATCATTTTGTTGTGGGAGTTTTTCTGTTTTATTTTTTAAAATTTTTTCTATTCTGATTTTTTTATTTCTGCTTTTTTCCTGCTCTATATTTTGGCTTGTACTGATGTGTTGCACGTGTATTTTTTTTTTATTCTTACTTATTCTTTCTCCTTGTTCCGAAATCGAAACATGTCAGTACTAATTACTATAGAATATAAGGCCGGAAAAATAGAAATAAAAAATAGGATAGAAAAATGAAATAGGAAAATCCCACAACAAAATGTTGAAATAAGAGAGATAAAAAATAAGTGGAAAAATAATGAGCGCATGCGGACATGACGCACACGGAAGATCGGTCATCGATACGGCGCGTAATAAAAAATAAAAATCACAATAAAATTTGCAATGAGCGGAGGGAAAAAGACGCATGTTCCTCACAAAAGTTCATTCGGCAGCACGAGTCATCAAATGCGAGCTATTGCGAGCTATTGATTGCTATAGATGTCGTAGTCTGGTGCCGGGGACGGCACGGCCTTACGGCTTCATTTTTCAATTCGCTTCTACGTCTATTTTATGCATACAAAACAAAATTCAGAGAAACCAAACCAAGCTCCTCGAGAAGATGAGACCACAAGACAGTTCTATTGCTGTCTCAATAAGAAACAATTCTCTTCACTTTGTCGCCTGACTTAGAAGCTCATTTGGGCATCAGTTTCGAACGTTGTGGCTCTCGCGTATTTTAAAACCAAGGTCTACAAGTTTCGAGCCCCTGCTGACATCGTCTTGACTTCGCCTTTATGTCCTACAATCAGGTCATTTCTCGTATTCATTTTTGAGGATACCAACATAAAATACCCACCTCTTAACACTACCAGCATTCCGGCTTCTCTTATCAGCTTCCATATTATTTTATTGGCCATGTGAAAAACTTCAATGAAGCAATATCGGCGTAGAGTTAAGGACTGGCTGACACTTCCAATATTTGAACGTCGGATGACAGCAGCTCCTTTGTATTTGGGAACAGTCATTCTCTTATACAACTTTGGAGAGTCTCGATATGTGTGGGTGTCCATTTAAGGCCTTAGCCGAGACTAAGAACTTTTTAGTGACTGGTGAAAGAATGCAGCACGCGTTCGACACTGTCAGGCAATGATTAAGTAAGAACTTATGGGTTTTTAGGTGTTATTTTGTAAATTCCACGAACTCTAATGAATAGGTAGTGGTCCAGAAATACTTATAGATCGTAGGTAGAGAACCAGGTTACTGACCAATTTGACAATGTGAGGTGCGAGCAGAAGACCGGAGCCAGCCACCATGCTGCTCATGCCCATTCCAATCGCACGCACCACTGAAAGGATTTCTCTTTCTCTCACTCATTTTGCATCAAATCGCAATATTTGCTAGACATTCATCAACCTGTAGGGTAAAGTTCTCCAGCGAAAATATAGATCACTGCAAAACCAGAGCCGACACCAAACTTTCCGACAAAAGACGCAGAGGCTACAAGCCACGGATAGGCTGAAAATCAATGGGTATAAGTCACAAATATATGATATGAGTATATGATGTGTGAGTACGAGCGGCCGGGACTTTTGGGACTCTCCAGAGCTTGCCTTAAAAAACTCACTCGGCGGCATGAACATCGCAGACACGCAACCTATTCCACACACGATCATGGTTGCGGCCAACGTCCATCTAGAAAGGCAAAAACTGCAATGCTTGAAGGGAGCTGTTGAAATTTTTCTCAGGATTCTATTACTATTGTTCTCACCTTCTTCCCATTGTCTGCAGCAGTGGCCAAACAATAAAATAAGCCGGCAGTTCGACAGCACCGTTTATAATAAACGACCAGTAGTCGTCCACGGGCAAGTTGGAAATGTTCAGGGTCAGTCCATTGTAAATGATTGCGTTCATTACCCTGTGGTTATGACGTTAAAGGATCCATCACAAACTTAGTTGAAGGAATTCAGTCATTTAGTTTAAATAACACGAACAGATGTAACGAATAATCTTTCTCTGCTTGCAGAATTGCTTCTTTATAGTCACATTCTATAGAGAACTGATTTAAATTTCAGTACTCCAGAATTGTAGCGGCGTAATACATGCGTAAATGGCCTATACAGTGACCTCGGAGGCCAGCCGATGTGCAGTTCAGTGCTTTTATAATCCTAGACGAGTCTCGTACCAATAACCGGCCTCGAGGGATGGAAGGCGTGGTTAGGCTTTGCGGAGATCGATCTGTGATGCGAATCCGTGACCATGCGTGTGAGATAGTACGCTACTTACCACTACACCCCTCTGCCCTATCCTTACTAAATATAAACAATAAATGTCTGTCTGCTTGTAACTACTTATATGACGCCTTCTAGAAATGTAACTAGAATAGCTCAGCCGAGTTGGAACAGTGAGGAATGAGCCGAGCTACTTTGCAGCACGTGATAAGCTGGGCTCCGCCTACGAGAGGCGGGGCGTGCGCGAAAATTGCATCCCACGAGCTCGAGCGGTCGAATTCGGAAGGGTTGCAGGCGGCAAGATGGGAACACTAATGGCAGATGACAGCTGTATACTCTCACTAGGGTTGACGCGAGTGCGAAAATTGTTAACTCAGACCTGCGGCGTGCGAATTTGGAATGGATACAGGCGGCAATCTGGCGGACGGGAGTGGGCGAGAATTGTTAATGTGAACAATGGTCGTCCTATTCCGGTAGGAATGCAGGGGGCAAAATGGGAATACTGATGGCAAGTGGCAGGACTAGTCTCCGGAAACGTAGGGAAGTGGGGAATCCATACTTGTTGGCCCATACACGGTTTGCTATATCGATCTGGTGTGTAATTGACAGTAATCGCAACTTTATTGCCTTTAACAGTACAGCCTTTCAACTCCAAAACAGCTGAAGAGACAGCAACACTGGCTGCTGATGACTACTCCTTCTTCGAAAAGAAAAGAGAACAGTGCCCGAGTGATTACTTTATACAAAATGTGTTAATGTCTGTCTGTCTGTTCATTTGATCGTTTGTTTGTTCGTTTGTTCGCACAAAAATTCCGTATTACCTGCAGAAGCACCTGTAGAAGTCTGGTTAAGTTTGAGATGGGTTGGGCATAGAGTAAGATCAATAGAACATATGTGAGCACAGTGGAGCTCCGCTCATAATGGTCGGGAAATCCAGAGGAGTGGGCGATGTCAAGAGCAAAACTTCTTAATTTGGTTTCATAACAAGTCGCCGGAAAAAAGGAGCAAAGGTGAGAGACAAGTCAACAAGTATGAATGAAACCCATCGGCGGCAGGCGGAGCGTCCTCGGAGTGGCGGTACCTTTCGCGTAAGTTCGTAACTCGGTTCAACGAGAGCGTAGAGGCCAGAAAAAGAAGATTGAAAAAGGCCTCCTGTGTGCTGGGCATGTGTGGATTGAGCGAAGCTCAGCCCGCGGTAGGCGGAGCGTGCGTTTCAATGGACGCTACTTCCTGAAGGCATGTATGATTCTATTTGAAAACGATCTAGAATTAGAAAAGAGTTCGGAAGTAATAAAAGAAACACTGTCAAATCCCTGAAGTGTGCGGGGTTTGCTCTGAGATGGGCAGGGCTAACAAGGAAAGAATACTAGGTCGCAGTGGCCGTTCAGGATGAGACGTAGACCGACGTAAGTAGTTTCGATCGCTGACCTCAAATTTGGGTTCCAAACTGCGAAACGACCTTGGGAACAAAGTTATGGGTCCAGTTCCCTCAGTCGTCATGCCACTTTGTTGCTTTCATACGAAAACCGAGCAATGCTAAACATGCAGCGATGGCGCAGTTGGGAAGACGATTGGATGCTAGGCGTGACACGGAGGTTGGAATCCTTGACGAATGCGCTTGTTTTGGTTCCTACAAAAAGTGTCTTAAAGGCACCGCTAGCAAAAAATGTAGTTTACCCTTTTTTGACGAGAATTGATAGAACTACTCTAGAATAAAGCGATAACAGCGAAAAAACCGCAAAAAAAGACAAACAAAAAGAACTACAAAGGGTCAAAAAAAGAGCTGGAAAGGGGGTTGGACGAGTTTCACATTGAAATAACGGTGGTTAGGAGGTGTTCGGCCAAATTGGCAATTTGCCAGACTAGAGACGCAGTGTGTTGTCTGCAATAGCCGACAACACATTGCGACTCTGGCAATTTGCCAAATTGCACTTCAGGGTGGGTCCTGACGCGATTACATGACGCTGTGTCGTCTCGACACTCGTCTGACGTGACATCAGTCGAGGGGCGGAGATGCGAACTACGTCAACAACGGAGCTGCCACTACGCCCTGGACGTCGAGATTGGGGGAGTGAGAGGGTCCCTTCAACAACCCATGGGGGCCGCTGAGTATTAATAAGGTAAGATCTCAATAACTTTTAGTCGTGAATGGTGCCTTTAAACGCTTGCGAGACCCTTTGCCCATCATATAGACTAACTACTACAGCCCTCTCTCATACTTATGGAGCACCAAAAATGCCGAGTAAATTTCTTCGTCGCCCCAACAGACCGAATAGGGGTGTACATAAAACACTTCCACTCCGGGGCCTTAAGATACACTTTCAAAAGAGGGTTGTCGAATGACTCGCCGGGCTACAAGAAGTTTTCAGAATCTCGGTGCGCTAAACAAGAAGTATACTAGTGAGATAAGGCAAATTTAGGAGTTGCGGTTGCTAAACTGGAAGTCCAGGTCATGGGCAATCTCGAACGAGACAGTACGCTCAGACATGGTTTCACATGATAAGAAAAAACATACATCGAGAGACTCAATTTGAGAAATGGGCCAGGTGGAATGTTGAGTACTTTGACTGCCTTGCCAGTACACAAAGCACCATAAATTGCTTCACCGTCCTCGAACGAGCTCCATGCGTCGACAATCAATATTGATAAAGGCAAATCTGTTGATCTAACGCGATCTAACGCAATCCAGCCTAAGTTTCTGCCCAAATTCGTAACCACATTCCAAGGCCTCGGAGCAGAAGGGTTCTATGTGCACGCTCATCAGCCCGCCACCCTCCCAACTGCGCCATCGCTGCACGTTAGACGCTGCTTGTTCTCGTATAAAAGCAACAAAGTGATATGACACCTGGGGAAACTGGGCCCGCAACTTTGCTAACAAAATCATTCCGCAGATCCGAGCTCCAGATTCGAGATCAGCGTTCAAATGTACTCACGTCGGTATCTTACCGACGTATACCTCATCTTGAATGGCCACTGCGACCTAGTATATTCTCCCTGTAAGGCCAAAAGTCATAAAACTGCTCACCGTCTAAAACGCAAGAAAACATAGTGTGGCCGATTCTTTGAAGTGGGACATAATTTTTGCTCTGACAAGTTCAGAAACCGCGAAAAGTGGGCAAAGGTATGTAACGGGTCAATAAATCAGGTGAAGAAGACTCATATGCGATAAACCAAGCATTCCCGAACTTTTGGCACAAACTCTTAACCCACCGCAGCCTATAGCCAGATACTCGAGGAGTGAAGCTCAGGCAGATCATTCAATTGGTCTCTTCTTGACATGTTCTTTGTTGTTACGCGTTAGTGTGCGAAGCCTGATAGGTGCTCACTACTTAATGTAGATAGAAAAATTTGTTCTCAAAAAGGATGCCACCTCCAGAAGCTGTTCAAGGTGCGGATCTTAGTCGAGAAAATGCATGGCCATGATGGGAAGTTTCTGTATTGCACAAAATGAAGAAATATGCCTAGTTTTTCCCACTCTGGAATCGGAACAGAAATCTTCTCTTATGCGCAGACGCTCTACCCCTGGACCAACCACGCGTCTAGCGTAGCAAACGAATGTTGGTGTTTGAAGGTTGCAGCTTTGTACAAAACGAAGATATATGGTTAGTTTATCCATTATGAAATTGATTTTTTGAATCTATCCAATTTTGCAGCCAGCCAACAGAAAAAAAGATGGTGCATACAACTCAGAGAGCGTTTTGCAGCTGGAAACACCTTTTAGGAAAAATTCACTACATAAAAAGTGTGAAGAAGTTCTTGATTGACTACTTCACCCTAAAAGTCAACCTCAATAAAAATTCCGTTGAAGTCACGCATGAGTTGCGGTTCATGGGCGGATGAACATCGAAGCTGGTCGTGTGAAATCTTCACAAATAATTGCCTCCGCTTAACTTGTTCTTGAACGCCCCTTCAATGCAGCGTTCACTATGTTTCCAGCCGTCTGCTGTTGCAGTTGTACAAAAAGAGAGACATGGTAGTTCAAGGAAAAAATTAAGGAATAATAAAAGGGAAATCGAAACAGTAATTCATCGATTTAGTTAAGCATCTATGAAATCTGCTCGCTTGTAGCTGAATTAGGGCTGAGAATCAAGGATAGATTGTATATTGGAGAATACGGAACTTGTTCAATCGACAAAGTTGTTTCAATTTAGAATAATGTGAAACCCACCAAATATATGTGACCAGCACAGTTTTCTTTCGCAGGTTCGGCGTCTTGAAAAGGTCTGTCACATTGTGGCTGTGCTGTTCTCCATCAGGTCCGACATCTTGGTTTTCTCTCAGCTGAAACTTGTGCTAATGTCAGAGTGTGAATTGAGAATTGGATTTCATATCGGTAATGCACAATGGAAACAACAAGGATACGACCACATTGCAGGCGCCTGCACTCAGGACTCTGAATCGTGCGCCGTGAGTGCGAATCTCTCCGTGACCTGTGTTTTTCTAACACTGAGGAACAAATCCTTATTTTCAGGCATTTATCAGATGTCAGTAAAGTAAATATAACTGAAAAGGATCAGCAGTTGTCGGTCGCGTGGTGTAGCGGTTATCACTCAGGACTCCGAATCCTGCGCCGTGAGTGCAAATCTCTCCGGGACCTGCGTTTTGCAAACAGTGAGGAACGAATCCTTATTCTCAGGCATTTATCAGAAGTCAGTAGAATAAATATTAGAACTAAAAAGGATCGGCAGTTGAAAAGGATCGGCAGTTGCCGGCTTTGTGGAGTAGCTGCTTCAAAAAATTTCGATAGGGTTGTTTGAAAGTTCCTTATTTCGCTTATTTATCGGTACCCATGATGTACTATGCGGTAGTGCTAGAACATTCTAGAACCTTCTCCGTAATGAGTATATATAGGCGCGCTTTCATCTCTAGCTCGAGAACAAGTCCATGTTCGATACCTCATCTTCTACTAGTGGCGCCACGGCACCGGAGCGACGGCAACTGTTTGCAACATTAACAGCGTGTGTGAGAGGACACCATTTCCACAGCAGGTTTGCTCGCTCTGGGGACGAGACACGGACTACAAAGACATGCTTCGCTCGGGACCCCCCGTCGCTGTCGACGACTGCGTCATTTTCGACACTATCGAAGAGGATGTGGAAGTTGACACCCATAGCCTTGCGACTGGACTTGGGTATACCCATTCAATGCGGAAACTTGAAAAAGAAAGGAAGAATAAAAAGAAAATTGAGAAAGAAAAAAGAAAAAAGAAAAAGCCGTTCGAGAAAAACGGCGAGACGAGCTTTTGTGCACGTCCTCCATGACAGCGCTAGGTTGCATTCTGCACGGGTCTCTTGACCTATACATATATAGGTCAAGAGACCCGTGCAAAATTGGAGGAGCTAGGCCGTGACACTGGTTCCACGTCCACCCTATTCATCTGATACTTCTCCCTCAGGTTACACTTGTTCACGCCCCTCAAGGCCTTCCTAGCAAAAGAAAACAGTTAGCCAAATATGACCACTTTTTCAAAGTGGTCGGTTACTTTTTTGACTATCCACGCAGACCTGCCCGTTATGTGGGACAATATTATAACTAACAATAGTTATCATATTGTTGATTAGCTTGCATTGCTTGCTTGGTCGTGAAATGCAACAAAGACTCGACCCTTTCAAAACTTTTTCATAAACTACTTTTAGATGGGGATTTGTATGGCCTCGAGCAAACTTCTTTCTAGCACCAATTCCGCCCCGTGGCATGGTCCGCTATTCTTGTCAGCTGTTCTTTCTATCTACGGCATGTTCTGCCGATATTTTAGCTTCGGCGAGGTCCATCTTGGTCACGTCGTGCCACCTCTTCTTCGGGGCTTCTCGTTGTCACTTCCCCTAAGCCTTGAACCTCATCGACTCCCTTATTGAACGATTCTGTGTTCTTCTCGGTAACTACTCTTTCATTCTTGGCTAGACAGGGGTTGTTTGCGTAGCCGCCCTGAGGTCTTCGTTCCTTATCGCGTCCAACAGAGGCCCAGCTGAGCGGCAGCCTTCCGGCGGCGTGAAATTACCTTTCATATTTTTCACTTATGGGCCAGCCCTTGCTGACGTAGAGCACCGACGATCGCAGAGGATATCGGTGAACTTCTTCAACATCATTTATGCCGCGTCTATTCGGGGTTTTACAGCCTCACCACGCTACCATCAGCGGCTAAATCACTCCCAGATATCGAACGCCTTGTACCTCTTCGATGGTTTCCCAGCATCTTCACGTTCAGCGAGGGCCCTTCTCCACCAGCACTTCCTGCCATTACCGCAGCTTGTCGTCGAGTTCTTCTTTGGTCTCTGCTATCAAAGCGATGTCATCAGGGTGGAGGATGGTCTGTAGTCCCTCTGGATGAGGTGATGAGAACCATCGTAAGCAGGAAAAAAACAGACTTAGAGCTGATTCGTGGTGACATCTATTGCTTCTGTTGGATCGTGCGGAGTGGGTACTGTTATCGTCGAGCCACTGTACATGTCTTCGATTAGGGAGATCATATGTTCTGCAACGTTTCGTTCTAGGCGCGCTCTTCAGAGGACTTGTTGCAGGAGACAGTCGAATGTCTTCTCCAAGTCGAAGGCTGGGTAGTGGAGTCTACGCTTTTCTCCATCCTCATCACTTGTCTGGCGCATCCTCAGGCAGGAAGCCGATCTGCTCCTGCGGAATCGGAACCTTTTCCCTTGATCTTGTGTCGACCAACCGCTCCTACAATTTCACTGTGCAAGCAATCACCTGATACCCCGGCATTTGGGAAATTCAATTGCTTCCTCCCTTCTGCTTGAAGATTGAAACGATAGTGCTCCTCCTTGCATCTGGGAATCTTCCTTCAGTGGTCACAGTGCTCAGAAATTAGGCGGGCTAATTTATCCCGTGCACTCCGAGTCTTCCATGCCTCGATCGATAATCCATCGGAGATGCTGCCTCCCAACCTTCACCTTTCCTTTTGCTCTGCGCACCTTATTCTCTGTTTAGAGGTCGAAGGGACCTGCCGCGTCGCCTCTATTGGGGCTGTTCCTTCTGGTTGACTCCTCCTTTAGGAAGTCTTCTGGAGTATTCTTCTCATCTATGCCTGACCTCCCTGGGCTTTCTCATGGTGGAATCCTCGCTCTCAAGAGCTTCACTACCCCGATGCTCTGAGTGACCCGGTACCGCACTTTTGCAGCCGAAAGGCAGATTCCTCTCCTTCTCGATCATCCTGTATTTTATAGAATCCATCCATTCCTTCTGCCTTCGCTATACATAGAAGTCTTGGGGAGCCTCCTCTGTATGTTACAAAATATTCGAAAAATCACAATCTCTGCCAGCGCTCGTAGCTTTTCGGCTAAGAGCCGCTCTCATCAACAGGTCTTCCGCTCCGTTCCTGTCTTCGATTTTTTCGGAAGATTTATGATCATGTCTGCTAGATAGGACCTGTCTTGAAAGACCAGATGTCTTGTCTTTGCCAGCCAGTACTTTTGTCTTTTACGGATGACCTCCTTACGAGCACAAGATGTATTTCTATTCCTTTCCACTGCTGTAGACTATTTCTATTCCTTTCCACTGCTGTAGACTACCTTAAGAGTTTTCATTCTCGCCAAGAAGGTGTTGCAAACTGGCAGGCCGTGGGCTGTAGCCGTGTAGGAGTTGCTTTCTCCTTCTTCGTTCCTGACTCCAACTCCTGTACCATCATGAACCCTTTCGGGCTCATTCTTCACTACCGACGAAGCCAATAAGGTCACCAGCTATTGTAGCCGGTACCCCTCCGAAACTTACCTGGTGGTATCGTTGAGGCTCAGATAATACTGATCCTTTCCGTAGACGGGCAACCGGGTTGTGGTGCGTACACGAAGATTATTGCGTAGTTTTGAGGCACAGAATTTTGAAGGCACTCCGCCACTGTGATGGCCATACCTATTCATTTAATAGCTCCTTCGTTGTAGTAGAGCTTGACGCTCTCGCCAATTTCTCTGGCTTACGTTCCTTCCTGGAAAAGGCATGGAAAGCTCCTGAAGAGGGGGAATAGGAAAACAGTCCTTTCCCTAACCTTTTCCCTATAAACATGAACACATGAAACTTTTACACAGATTGGATAATCTCCAAAATAAACTTGGAGATACGCTCTTTTGCTCAAAATTGTTGTGAAGTGAAAATTTGTCACTATTGCAGCTATCAGACGAATAATATGATGCCGTCACATCAATTATGGAGATATACTTTTCATTCCAATAGGAATTCACAGGTAACACAAATTGTGTTCACGATTGCATGGTCTCAAAAAAATCTTGATCTTAATTTTTTTTCGAAGAGAACTTTGTTATTTTTCTAGAATAATGACGGCACTCACTGCTCCGAGAAGTTCTTCCACATTTACTTGATCTTTTTTCCCGTTCATTTTGGCGATGCGTTGCAGCTGAGTAGAAGCTTCTTTCCACTTTCCGGCCGAGACGAGCCAACGTGGTGATTCGGGCAGAAAGCTGAAGCTTGATGAAGTATTGATTAAGGAAATTTTTTGTGACTTTATTCTATTCATAGAATTTTCGAGCTCGATTTAAGGTAACAAATTTTGGTATTTTCCTAATGTTGACCCCTGGATCCAATCCATAGCAGAGTATCAGAGATATTCGCTCCGTTGAGCATCAGGAAGGGCGACGTATGCCAGTCCGTTTCTCTTAAATATCGCCTTGTTAGGTTCAATTTCAATTCTTCATCATTCGTTCCGCCCTCTCGATGGCCCGCCTTACAAGCATGGTATTGTCTGCAGAAACAATGAAAAACAAGTAATAGAATTTTAGTTCAGAGTGGTGAGGGCTTTATAAGAAAAGGTAACGACAATTAGAAAAGTGTCACTCACAAATAGTAGGAGAAAAGTACTGCAAATGGAGCATTACAAAAAAAGGTGAGCTGACGCCATCTGAAACAGAATATTTCGATCGTTCGAAAATATGAGAGTTTTTTTCCTAGCGACCTTCTTATGAACATAGCAACAACTCCAAGCAAAGCCATTGCAGCTCCGAAGAAAAGAGAAATCATCAGTCCGGAGAAGATGCGTCCTGACTTGCCCATGAACTCCATGCCTGAAAAACATTCTCATTCACTCAGGAATAATACAGTCTTTTTGTTATACAACATCTGCATACTTTTTTTATTCATCTAATGTACCTTTAGATGCGTTATCACAATTTGCTTTGCAAAACGAAGTAATGATGATCATTGAACAATTTTTTAGAGTAAAAAGAAGTGTTCATATTCATCATCCTTGTAACTCACATATGATAAATGGTATTTGGAACAGTGCAGGAAAAGGGAGACCGGTGAGAAAGCGGAGGATAACGAAAGATTCGATGTTCTGAAAGAGAACTCGCCTTTAACTATTCTCACTTGGCAAACTACATATAAGACGCGAAGTTAGTAGCTGCAGATTATTTGAAGACAAAAGCAAAGATGAAATGGTGTATGGGTAGAGAAAAATGAATAAAGGGTTTTATTTGCAACCACGTAGTGAAGGCGCACCCAGTAGACTGTATAGATATGTCAACAGGTAAATAAGCAGACGAAAAAGTAAATAAATAAATGAAAACATAATGCTGAGTAATACATCAATGGCTAAAGACTCAAAAAAGTACAGGAAACTAGGAAATCTTGACACTATTTCTTTTCCAGTATTGTGCGCAAATGTGGCAAGGAAAAATATGGTGCTACGGCAACGATAGTCGTGCCAAATGCGTCTTCACGCACAGACAGTTGAAGGCAAAAATGGTTCCCGAAATTACTTTCTCGACGAACAGCCAGGATAAGGCGTGACAAGGGTTACATAACCGGCTCAGCTGAAGTACATACCCAAAGGCAAAGGAGTTCGTCGTAGAAGCACAGAGGTCACGTCATTCCCTCCGGAACGCTTGGTGCACACGGCTTACTGTGACCGGCTGTACGCAACGGCTGCTTTCACGAGGCAGTGCTACGGGGGAAGAAGGGCGGCAGGCGGTAGGTCAGCCCCTCGAAGGGCTGTAAACAAGGAGAGACAAGACCGAAAACCATCTGTACGAGTCCCTGGTTGTTTGGTTTTTGATCTTGTTCTTCTTTGTTTTCACCCCTTCGACCGACCGTCTGCCGCCCTCCTCCCCCTAGCACTGCCTCGTGGGACGCCGGCCGGCCGGCCGGCGGACTGTGAAAGCACCCAATGGCACCGATTTTTGGGCAGCTCATTTAGAAATCCTTTGAATACAACTTTTTTGTCGTCGCACTTTCGTCCAAACACCAATTTTAACACTTTTTTTTAATGGGTTATATCTCTCCGAATACACCGTTCTTACACTTTTTTGCCACTTTTACACTACTCTTGATTAACGATTCCACTATTCGCCTTAAGCTAGGTATCCAAAATTATTGTGAACTGTGCCTTTATCAAACTTTTCGCTTTCAGGCAGAACGAGCAGCATATCCTATTCTGCAGAATCACAAATTCGCTCTGATAACTGATGTGCGAAACCAGCACATCCCTAGTTGTTTTCTCGAATACCTGAACAAATGCATTTGCTGTACCGAATATAACCAGAGAAGCGAGGATAATGAAGAAACTGCGACGCCGTCCAAATCTGTAAAGGTATTATCTAAGACGACTGAAAATAAACACCAGAAGGTTTGCAATGGACGAACTTTCAGAACAGTTCAGGCTTTGGAAAGGTTCAGACCCCTTTATGCAAAATATGGCACTTCACCCTCAAAACTCACTTGTCGGCGATATATCCAAACAGAAAGTTCCCGATGAAGCTTCCCACGTAGAAAGATGTTGTTGAAATTTCTACCCAGTGTTGACGATCACAAACCAAGTTGAACTGTAAACTAAAATATGTCTTAGAAAATTGCAGTGTCCCCCTTATTGAATTCGCAGCTTTATGGGCCTTCAATCTGATAGACTTTTTGACATGGATCGTGAAGGAGTATTTTAGGAGAATATGTACGTTCCGCGAAGTTCTGCCCAACAACTACTCACATTTGTGTGAGGCTCTGGCACAGCATGGATTCAATAAAACATGTTTCACCGATCTCATTGGAAAAAAATACCATTTACTCTTAGCCAACCCCTCTAAGATACACGATCAGGAGTTCCTCGCCATCAATATTTCCTTGACTCATTAATAAACTTAACACTACCCTCATGATCACTGATGATAATAATGGGCATATGCTAGGTTTCATTTGAAGTACGTCTAAAAAAGGACGATAGCGCGAGGTCCACTTGAGTACATAAGTTCTTAGAACCCTGTAAAATATTGTGTGTAGCCTTACAGCCGCTTTCACTCCCCAATATCCTACAACACAATGATCATTTGATCTTTTGATTTCTATCTAAAGCTTCTTACTTCTGTAACGAGGCTGTCGGTGTAGGTGGAGTTATCGAATTGCCAACCTGACTGACATGGAACCAGACTTATTTCGTCACTAGAAATGAAGATGATTACTGAGTAATCAATTTAACATTGACAAATTCTCCTCGAATGGTTCTCGGTGAACGTTACTAACAAATTCGAACTTTCTTCCGAGAAGATGGAAGGAATCAACCGGTAATATTACTTGAACTGTAATTCTCAGAGAGACTAGTTAGTAACAAGAGACATTCTCTCANTTTTTGAATTCTCTCATTGATTTTCAATTAACAATAAGTCAGCTTTGATTGATGGAAAATCACATGCAATGGAAATGATCTTACCTGTAGCTTTGTATCGGTAGTGAAGTAAATGACCGGTAGAAGTCAACTTGTGTTTGGTTATACTGGAAACACCTTGAGAGATTCTAAATGGTGTAATGAAAAGTATAAGGATCAGGACAACTCAGATGAGAAGAATGTAAACCATATCAGCGTCTTGAGGTTTGAGATCATCACGGCCAGAGGGCAGACGGCATTGATGAGATGGAGAACCAACAACGAATGGCTGATTGAAAGCAGAGAAAGCAGACGGAAGACTCGCGGGAAGACATATGATGAAGAAGAACACAATCTGATAGGGTCCAAAATCTCCAACCTAAACCATACGCAGCTTACTTAGAACGGTAAACGACAATTTAATGTAGTTTAATAATTAGACTGATGGGAATGAGAGTAAGCTTTCTGGATTTTGGAGAGGAAACTTTGCTTTGGACATTACCAAATGAAAATCCAGCAGAGTGGTGCTCCTATCACTTAGAATTTTTCATTCAGTCAATGGTCCCATCCGCAAAACACTTCTCTACAATAGTGCGCCATTCGTGGCTTCTACATCCTCCCTATTTTTCCTACCCCTGCCCACGCGATACCATGCCTTCCGAAGTTTACTCCCCTTCCGCAAAGACAAGCGGCGCAACATCCGAGACGAGCTCAAAAATAAATGTCAATAACTTTCAGTAGTCCGAGGATTCAGAGAATGTTAATCTCACAACGTGAACCACTGCAGCTCCACGCAGTGAACCGTTCCGGCGAAATGTGGTTATAACACCCCGGCATTTCTTATTCACAGCAGCACTACCAAGCTTACAGATAGCTTTTACTTGTACAGCAACCACACCCATTTCAGCTACTGAACATGGTTACGCTAAATTTCCCTCATATCCGATTCTCTTGCACAAAACACGCATTGTTGGTGACCTTCCCGTTGTCAGTAAGGTTCTTTTAATTATATTTTCAGGAGATCATCTTAGTGTTTGTCAATTTTATGTTGGGCTCAGACTAGCTCGCATTGAGCTGCGTCCCTAGTGGGCGGGTAGAGGCCAAACAAACTCTGTTCGATATCCATTTCCACTTTTCTGAAATGTGACTCAGTGTCGTAGTCAACATGAGGCGTGAAAGCTTTCAGCAGCGTCTAGGACACGATTCTTGAAAAAATGAAGCGAGCACATGCATCATACAGTGCGTTTCATAATTATAAGGTCACCCTCGATTCTTGCGATTCTGGAGAAAGCAGCTGGAA